CCCTAAGTGGGCTTTACGGGCTGCGGCCCTTACGGACCGCCCATTGCCTTTTTTTTTTTTTTTTGCCTTATATTGCCTTGCTTTATTTTCATCCCAACCATTTAAGTAAATGTCTTGTCTTTTTACTTTATTTTTATATTATTCAATTTACTAAAGTTTACAATGTAAATAAGAAAGTACCCCCCATTCGGAATGGAAATAAGGAATATAAGGCAAAAGCAAAGCAAAACAATGGGTGGGCCAACTTGGGTCGGGCCAAAGGTTTAAAATCCTAAGCCCAAGTCCTACTCAACCTTAAAACGGACCGGGTAGAGCGGGGGAACAGTTTTGGATTTATGAGCATAGAAACTAGACCTCGTAAACTCAAATGAATCTTATGATGGCTATGGTTATGTCATGTCTGATTATAGTGGAACTAGTTATGGAGCTCAAGATGATGAAACAGATTATGGACCTACTAGTTGTGTTAATCCTAACTATCCCATATATGGGAGGACAGTAGGGAGCTCGAGAGAGACTTATGTGCCCCATGTTCTAACATGGCTTACAAACTGCTCGAGTTACTTGACTTGGTATGACTATTGTATGAATCTGGATGGTTGTTCCTCATTGTTTGAACCTCATAGGAGCTCTTCATTTATGTAGGTGGACACTTATCTAAATTGTAATCTAATGTTTAAACAAACTATGGATTTATGCATGGTTTATTCATTCTAATCAAAATTTTATTTTCAAATTTTTCATTAATTCGCATTACATACCACTTATATTTCATCAATGTATGTCTTATTATTAGTAAATTTTCAGTTTTATTTGTTCAATACATTCATTGATAATGTATATAACATCTATGAAAGTTTTACACTAAGATTATGTGTTTCAATGCCTATATCTGTATTTTTTGTTGATTTTTTCCCAATACCTAAAACGATAACGATATATCCCCCGAAATATCTGTAAATTGGAGGCCCGATATTATCTGCACGGTCGATATTTTAATCCTTAGTTGTCACTAAGGAGATTGTACCGCACTCATATACATGGATAATTGGATTCATTAACAATTAACCACAAATACCCCGTGGCTTATGGGTTTGTTAATTGTCACATATATATAGTAACCATGGCCACTAGACCACTAATGTTAAGGTTCTTCATCGGACCGGGCTTTATCAGGCTTTTTCTTTTTTTGGGCCGGGGCGAAGTTTGAAAGGGATTGGCCCGAGTCGAGCCGGACCTAAGTGGGCTTTACGGGCTGCGGCACTTACGGACCGCCCATTGCCTTTTTTTTTTTTTTTTGCCTTATATTGCCTTGCCTTATTTTCATCCCAACCATTTAAGTAAATGTCTTGTCTTTTTACTTTATTTTTATATTATTCAATTTACTAAAGTTTACAATGTAAATAAGAAAGTACCCCCATTCAGAATGGAAATAAGGCAATATAAGGCAAAAGCAAAGCAAAACAAAGGGTGGGCCAACATGGGTCGGGCCAAAGGTTTAAAATCCTCAGCCCAAGTCCTACTCAACCTTAAAACGGACCGGGTAGAGCGATCCTAACCATCGGGCAGGGCCAAGCTTTAGCCCATCGAACCTCGGGCTTCCCACTTCGGCCTGCAGGCCAAATGATACTCCCTATAGGTGAACCGTGGGTTTTGCCCCATTTGCTAGTAGTATGATAAATTTATAAGGTATTTAGTTTATATACTCATTCTTAGCACTAGTGATATAGATAAACTCAACACAATTTGATTTTTATAAACAAACCATTTAATTTCTATAAATAAACCCAAAAAAGGACAGCTGACCCTATTGAATTTAATTTGATTATTAATTACTTTGATGCCATGTTGAGTGTTTTGGATTTTTCTTTTAATGTGGTTTTGGGGTTGGGCTTGTTTAAAAAATTGATGGCAGTTTTGTAATTTATGGGAAGTTCGAAGCCTCTTTGTTATGTTGTAGATGAGCTTTAGGTGTGTTTTTAAAGTCCATTTCATGTATAAAAAAATTACTTTGATGCCATGTTGAGTGTTTTGGATTTTTCTTTTAATGTGGTTTTGGGGTTGGGCTTGTTTAAAAAATTGATGACAGTTTTGTAATTTATGGGAAGTTCGAAGCCTCTTTGTTATGTTGTAGATGGGCTTTAGGTGTGTTTTTAAAGTCCATTTCATGTATAAAAAAAAATAATAACTTGAGCCCATATATTGGGCATAATATAGTGAAACTCCCTAAATTTATTTTGTTGGATTGTTTTTTTGTTTGATCAAACTCAAGAAAATTTCCGCACATAGTTAGGAAACCCCAGTTTAGACAACCGACAAAGAAATAGTGGCTGCATAATGGCCTTTGACAATAGGCACCAAAATCAGTGTCCTTTACTCCCAAACGCCACCATTAAAAATTGTGTGTGTTGATCAGTTTTTTTACTAGTGGCTTAACAGGTCATATACTTTATTCTTGATATACAATTGATGTCCCACATTTCAAACCATGCTATGTTTGGCTCAAACCTAAGTTTTAAGGTCTCCTAAGGGGACACTTATTGGATATGGGTTACCAATTTCTCCAAAACTGCCGTTTCTGAAAGAAGAAAAAAGGATTGAAATTGCAAGAGTTAGATGGTGTAAATAGGTGTTATCTCATTTGTGGACATTGAATATGTCATTACTAATTAATTTTAGAAAAACCAATAAATAAGGCATGTTAAGTTTGATAGAATCGTCAACAAGTCTAGTCCGGTGAAAAAGTGCCTTGATTCTTGGTGACTAGTGATCTCAAGTTCGAATTCCCATGACACAAATGTTTGTATGAGAAACCCCCATCCTATTTTAGTTTAGACTATCACTTGTATTCAAAAAGAAAAAAAAAGTTCGATGAGAAACCATCTTTATTCTATGGTAAGATGAAGGTATATATCTACATGAGAAGCACTGCAAAGCTAAGCCAGTAAATGCTTATGCAATCAGACAAAAATATTGAGATCTCTCCAATATGCCACTGCCAAGCACCAACCAAACATAGAAACAGCAACAATGATGGCTGAACTGCAGACTCATTAAAACCACACACAGTTAGTATTGAATACCAATGTTGGAAATTGTACACTAACATAAAAACAGACACACCCACAACAACAAAAATATTTCCTTTCATTTTCTTATATAAAAAAAAAATTCTAAGCTATTTAAAATTTCCTATCTATCCACCATACGAGAAGAATTTGGGAAATTTCACTGTAGACATATTTCAAATATGTCGAGAAATTAAAATACATGATAATATCACCACAGTGACATCCCATTACATGTAAATTTTTCTCCCACCGTACACACCAACCCAAATGGGAAAACACAATATCTCTCCGCATGTGCTTTAATCTTGAGTACCAACCCCATGAATTTATGGCTAATGAATTTTCCCAACCTCTCCCACTTGCCCATCAATTCAATGCCTCACATGGCCATGACACATGTCACCGCTGGGATTCACATGATCGGTTTCTTACTTTCTCTGATCAGATCATTCCAGATTTGTGTAAAAACTTGGATAATAACATCATGGTGGGATGCAGAGTTGAGTTCAAGAAAGCAGCTGAGCAGCTCCTGCAGATCCTCCTTTGAATAAATCTGCTTCTCTACGATCATCTGCAGCATAGACTGCCTGAAGTCTTGGTAGGGATCGTTGGATTCCTTCACCACAGCAATGCTGTCGTCGATCTTTGTCCACTTGGGGCTTGGCAACTTGGTGTTCTTTGGATTTGTGCTTTCTGATGAATCAGACGGGTGTGAGGAGGAGTTGTTGTTGAAGGAGATGGTGGTGGAGGTGCACTGGTCCTCATTATCATCGTCGTCATCAACAGTGAAACTGCCATTTTTGTCACAAGAGCTTGAAGAGGAACGTCGTTTGAGAGTTGGGTTTTGGGGGATTTGGGTTTTGGGTTTTGGAGTTGGCTCATATACATCTGAGAGCTTTGGCTTGCCACAGCCACAACCTGCGATATTGGATATGAGTAGGGTTTTGATAAGCTTGTGCTTTTTGCTGGAAGACATTGGAGGGAGATATAGAGACGAGAGAGTTGTTTTACTATTGCCTTTAGAGAGAGAGAGAGGGAGAGAGAGAGATTTTGGTTTAAGGAAGCTGGGAAAGTATTGTTGGTAGGAGTCTTTTTCAACAATCAATATTTTTGCTCTGGCATGAGACCTGTGTGAATGAGAGAGGAGGTGTGTTTTGGTAGGAGTCTTTTTCTGTATTACTGTTGAAGCAGAGGTGGGTTTTTATTTTTTTTATTTAAGAAGCATTTGACTTAAGATTCTTAAAAGCATTGGAAATCAAACTTAGAAGCATGTGTGACCTTGGCAGAGGCAACCTTCGTGATAAGATTCTTCCCTTTCAAGTTTATCATCTATATCATATATCAAAACAATATTTTATAAGAAATTAAAATAATATTATGTAATATTTCTCAATGAACATATCTAACTGATTGTTTAGCTTGGAAGGAAAAAAAAAATTGATTATTTTTGTTCTTCTTTATAAAATAATAATCAACAACTTTTTATTTTCGGTTACGTACAACTTTTTTTAATAAGCTTAATAATAACTCGAATTGAAAACTAATATATAAGATTCTTGGCATGAAACTAATTTGGAGTCAATAAAAATATTGAATTTTGGAGGGAACACTAAAAAAATAATAGAAATTAAACCAGGCCCAAAAGCCCATAACTAGGCCGACAGAGTTCTTTGGTCAAGCCTAAGGAGGCGCACGGACTAACAAGACCAGGCAGGGTCGTCTAATGCATGTGGTTAGTCCTAGAAGCCCACGCGCAACTTATTTAAAAGGACCAATGGGCCCATGAATTCCACTGACGCCTGATTCTCCCAAAAGGAAGAGACACATGCTAGCGCACAGCTAACCAACATTTCTAGATACAAGCCCTTTTTTTTTTGCAAGAAAAACTTTGGGTGATGGATTTGAGAGGTCATGACCAAAATTTCATCCGGATTTGAGAGGTTATCTTGAGCATGAGAGCGTTCGATTGGGGTCTAGTTTTGAAGTTTTGGACACTCAACCTCTATAGTCCCACCACACAACAACAGTAAAGAAATTTACTAATAGATGTATACCAAGCAACCATATGTTATAATGTACTGGAAAATACATATTCTTTCAACAACCAAAAGCCTATATCCATGTCCCTGTGGAATCCATTTCCTCTATCCTCATGCTCCATATGATATGATATGATGCTATCATCTCATCACAATATTATTCTCTCTCTTTTTTCATCCTTTCTTTGACTGATATGAAAAGATTCTAGGGAAGCTTATTACTTGACGTGGAAGAAATTTAATTTTAATTTGCCCAAAAGGGCTGGATCCAGAAGTAGAGGGAAAGCAGAAATGTAAGCTAGATTGGCAAGATTCGACTTCAATACAAAAGGACAAAATTGCAAATTCTAATAGTCACCATCAACACAACCATCTCATGCTTATTGCGAAAAAATAAAAAATTAGGGCAATTTGATTCCGATTTTATAGATTTTGTTCATTTATTTTTGTTCGAGATAGAAAGAAATATATGGAAGAAATTAAAGATCAAGGAGGACATAGAGGCATATTGAAGAAATACATATGAAAAGAAAACTGAAAGCTGAAAACAATCTTCAAGTTGTTTTCTTTTCAAGTATTTGTTTCATACATTCTACTCCATTCTTTTCTCTCATATATTTTCTCTCGATCTCTAGTGAAAAAAGTGAAGAAAAAAAAAACTGAAACCGGAATGGTAATCTACCACATTTAGAAAGAAAAACTATTCATTACCAACTAGCAATTAATCTAATGATATTTCTTTCTAACTTGTTAAAAGAAGTAGCAGTTTGAGCCACCTTCCCCGTATCAAAAGACAAAAAGAAGAAGAAAAAGAAAAAGAAAAAGAAACTACTCGTTGCCTAATTTCAATTTTCTAGTACTACCCAAATACATTGACGTTCTTTGTGGGTTTCTAACAACGAATATGAATTGCTCCTAATAGCCTACCAAACACACGCCTGATTGCAGTGACAACACTTCTGCTGAAGATTTTCAGATTACCAAAAAGCTGCATAGTCGACGAGCGCGGTACGGCTTGGCTTGGCTCTGGCATGGGCTGCAAGTAAGCCCAGGCAGCCTTCTGCACCAACAAGTTGCTAATTGGGATTTGACAAGCTGATTGCAAAGCCGAAGCTTTTGGAGACGAACAAGTTTTAGGTCTTGTTGAGGAGGGCATCAGATCCTTGAGCGAAGTATATTCTAACAAAGGAGAATTGAGCTCTGAACTGGTTGCGGGGAAGCTTTGACTTCGAAACTTTGTCCAGGAAAACCTTCTTCGTTGATTTGATGGCTCCATGCTGTTTTAGCTCCAACGAAAGTATAGTTATGGGGTCTGGTTGGCTTTTGTTTTGAAAGACGAGGGTTTTAAAAGTTTGTATTTACATAGAGTGTGGCAGTTGATAGAGTGTCAAAGGGATTCAAGTTTCTGTTGCTTTGGAATTTTAGTTCAAATTGGTAACTGTTGGCAAAAGCAATTTTATTCTCTAGGGATTTGCTTCACGTCCTTCGGAGTTTGATCAAGGATGAAATCTGCCAATTATAATTTGGGAAGTACCATTAATTTATGCCACGTCCATAAACGCAGGATTATTTGGGATATACCAAAGGTCGTCTGAGTCAATCCAACTAACACCCCATTGATAATTTTTATTACTTTACAACTGAAACACCATGTTTGAGGTGAATTAAATATAGGACACCAATAACATAAGTAACTTGCTTTTGGTATTTGAGCTTCAAATTTTTGGGCCACCAAACCAAAGTATTTGTAATCAGGTTGGTACTACAATAGTGGTATGCCATACTTATGTTGCAAATATTAATTACTATTATGTTTAGCTGTAAAAGCATAATACCATCACATGTTAATATTTTTTTCTTGGTAAGACACACAGATGTATAATGTATGTATTTGAGTGTATATTAATACGAACCATAACAGTGGTTTTGAGAAGTATATACCGAAAACAAAAAAGTATTTACTCCTACCGAACTTTCAAATTTAGGGGAGTTTCACTATTATGCCAAATATAAGGGCCTAAGTTATAAAATAAAATAAAACCCTACATGAAATGGACTTTAGAAACACACCCAAAACTCATTTACAAAATAACAAAGAGGTTTCGAACTTCCTATAAATTACAAAATTGTCATCGATTTCTTTAAATAAGCCCAACCTCAAAATCTCATTAAAAAAAAAAAAAACCAATAACACTCAATAGGGCATCAAAGTAATTTAATAATCAAAATTAAATTCAACATGGCCAGTTGTCCTCTTTTGAGTTTGTTTATAGAAATTAAATGATGTAGAGTTTATCTATATCACTAATGCTAAGAATTGGTATATAACTAAATACCTCTTATATTAGTCCCAATCTCTTGGACCATAGAAGTCCAAGAGATTGTGGTCACTCACCGTTGGATATTAAGCTAATGGTTCAAAAAAGTTTCTTAAAAAGAATGCAAGAGTGAATGAACTGTTGAATTTACATCTAACGGTGAGTGACCACAAATCTCTTGGACTCCTGTAGTCCAAGAGATCGTGACCGCCTCTTATATATATATATATATATATATATTCAAGTGTTGAAACATATGTTTAAACATTAAAAATAATACTAAATTTGCAAGTTCGGTTGGAGTAAATTCATATTTTTTTTTTAAAATGTATATACTTCTCAAAACCAAACAACAAATTTTTTTGGTAATTTTAGTTTCGGTTTATCCAACCAAAAAAATTTGGTGGGTTTGGTTTTTTCGAAACAAAAGAGCACACAATATGTGGTGGGAGGGAGAGAGGTCATTTGGGCTCTTGAAAAAGAGGCCCAATATCTTTCTTTTTGGGTTTGTGTCTGTCAAGCAAACCGACAATCTCCAACCAAAATAAAAAGAAAACCGACAATCTCAAGCCCACTACACACACAAAGGGCAAAAATTTTACATTGATGAAATTGTAAAGTGATAAAAAAAAATAGAGCGACTTGGACTGTCTTATAGCCTCATGTAGTAAAGCTGCTTGTGCATCTTCTTCTGCTTCTTGCGTGGTTCAATTCAATTTCAAAGGGATTAAATTCCAAGACATTTCTTCTCAGAACACAACCCATTAAATTAAAGCATGTTTGATTAGAATTAGATAGAAAGTTTTGGTTGGCAAACAATGGCAACAGCTGTGCTAGTCCCCTGTCTTAACTCTGCTTCCTTCTTCAACAACAATGGACAATCAAGAAATCGCTGCTGTGCATCAATTCAGCCATCCAAGGCCAGCTCTTACTCCAAACGTTTCAGAGTCAGAGCCCTGAAAGAGAAAACAGAGGAGGAAATCAAAAACCCATCATCTGCTGATTCAGCTGAGGAGATTACTAAGAAGTATGGCCTCGAGGCTGGTCTCTGGAAGGTACACATCTCTCTCTCTCTCTCTTTATTTTATTTGTTCTTGTGGTAAACTCCTGCCAATTTGGTTTCTTTCATACTTATTAGAAAGATAAATATCAAGTAAATTCAATTCAGAAAAAGAAAAAAGAAAAAAAAAGAGTATGAATTCAAAAGTGAAAGAAAATATTATGAATTAATTAAGGGAAAAAAGGTCTAGTTCGTTTTGAGCTAATAGCTGAGAGCAGTGTATGAGTTTGAGTAAATAAGTGGTAAATAGTAAGCTATATCTATATGCAGTCACAAAGTTTTGTTATGGAAAAATGCAGATATTCAGTTCAAAAGAGGAAGGAAAGGAAGGTGTGGAAAAGAAGTCCAAGGGAGATGATGCCAAGCAACTGCTAGCGAAGTATGGAGGGGCATACTTGGCCACCTCCATCGCTCTCTCCATAATCTCATTTTCGTTATGTTATGCACTCGTCAGTGCCGGGATTGATGTCCAAGCTTTGCTGCAAAAGGTACAAGCAAGCAATCTTCATATGAACCGAATGCAAACTTAACTGTTTTTATCATGTAAGATATTTGGAAGAATGACTTCTCATCCTACCTACTGTTTTTACTTTTCTTTTTCAGGTGGGAATCTCCGGCAGTGAGACCGGAGAGAAGGTTGGGACATTTGCTTTGGCATATGCTGCACACAAGGCTGCATCTCCAATTAGGTTTCCTCCAACAGTGGCTCTCACTCCCATTGTAGCCAGATGGATTGGAAAGAAAGTCGAAAAGGAGAAGTAACTTCTTCGGTTACTTAATCCATAAACAGGAGGTTTGCTCGTAAAGTTATGGTTTATTCCCTTGTTTGTAAAATCGGCTGTATAATTTCTTAGTCATCTTTTTTCTCATCTGCCAATCAATGGTTATATATCATATACTCTCCCAAGTCTCTGGAGTTTATACAATGGAAATTCGATTCGTGTTAACGATTCGTTGCACAATATTGCGAAGTCTAATATCTACAATGTAACTTCAGTTTAGGTGATTGAGATGGTAATCATGCAAAATGACTGCCTGGACTTGGGGCATCTTGAAATCACATGAACAAGAATTGAGTAAATTCAAATTATAAATTGATGATCAATTACAAAATGTGGTAATTCTAGTTCAGAAAATAGCTCATCAGTATAATTCAAAACAAAACGAGGCATCAGAACATAAATCCTTTCCTTTTTTGGGGTCCTGGAACTACCCAACATTCTCCCTATCCAACCTTATCCAGACTTATTACTAGCCAGTCTACTTCACTCTGGTTAATACAAGAAAAGCCTGCTAATTCTAACAATATACATGATGTACTAACAATTGTATCCTCTTAATTATTTGCCACCGTCTCATGGATATGTATATTACATTAATGTACAACAACAGCTACCTCCATCTTTGGTTCCTCACATGGATCTTCCGGGAACACTTACCGGAACCTTCAACCCAACCTCCGCCAGTGAAACAAATACATGAGATGGTTGGACATCATAGGTTCTCAGAAAAAAAGAGTCCACTTCTGCAATTAGATTCAGTAAGAATCGTTTTTAGGTTTCAAGTCATAGGACGGTTGGCAGTAGCCGGTACTTGAGTTGAACTAGATGGCGGAGTTTGTGGCCGTGGTTTGCTGACATTAACCATGGCATAATCTTCATCAATTGCACCCAACTCATTCCATACAACCCCTGCTATAGTTGATAGTTAAGAAATTCAGTAGACATATTTTGACCACGGAAATATTGACCCCAAAGAATAAATAATAAATGGAAAGAAAAACAACATCTTTCAGGACAAGGATACGTTCTGTTCTCCACGTCTGATACTAATATCAGCATCTGATAAAACCCAGTAATCTGCATCACTCTGAAAAAAGGTAACAGAAAATGCTCACACTGTAAGTCAAAGTTATTCTTTCCTCAGTACAACAAAAAACAATTTAACATGTCACACCTTTTTTTTTTTTGTAAATGATTTTTTTTTTGCCATAATGTGTAAAGGGTCATTTAACAAGGTACGAAAAGATACCTATTTGGCTAAATAACTAGAACTCTAGAAGATGTTTTGCAATTAAAATAGGATTAGCAGAAGTATCTAATGAAAAGGGAAACTTCCATTAAAATTTTGTTAATTCATGAAATACTAGTTTTCAGGATAATTTTCTACAGACATCTCAAGAGCATAATATGATACTTGTGCAGAAGTATTCTTCCCAGCCCCACTAAAGGCAACCAATGAAGAATACATTTTTTTTAGCATATTGAATCTTTCAAATAGGCAATGGTAAAATCAACTTGGAAGCCAAACTTACATCAACATCTGAGGGAACAATCTTCATCATCCCACTCATGATGTCCTGGGAAGCAGTGGGATCAGAGTGACGAAAAATCCGATGAACAGCAAGAAAATGCAGCAGTATCAGTTTTGGTATTTTGGCTCATTTTTGAACTTCCAATCCACCTAAAACACAATGTAGGCCATACGGGACCCCCAAACTTAGTCCAAATCATCACCATAACCATTTGCAACATGTCTGAAACCTTGAATTCATGTGAAACACTCCATAGTGAAAATTATGAGGAGAATCCAAAAATGACCATAATTGTGCCAAAAGGCAAAATTGAACAATAAAGTTCTCCAAACCAAACCAGCATCCAGAACATCTTGTTGAGACCATATGTCACTTGCGGGGGCCACTCCTTGGTGCGGAAGAACTAAGAAAATGATATTGTGCATAGGAAAACTTCTCAACTTCTCCAACAAAAACATCAACCAAAATAACCTTTCCTCTTGCATTATTTCAACTTTTGGCCATTGCAAACCCAACAAAAAGGCATATGTGAGCTGTTTGGTATCCTTGTGCACAAAAGCCTTATGGCCTGGTTCTCAAGCCTTAAAATCTACTCCCTGAATGTAATCCCTTGATATCTTCTTCAGTGACAAAAAGCCATCTACCAAAGTAAAAAGGAAAACTGAGATAAGTGTTTGCATAAATTGCAACAGGGTAAGCTAAAAATAGAAGGTCAAAAACTAGCCAGTGATGACGTTCCATGGAATGTAATTGATACTGAACATTGAAGGATAAAACTTTACTTCTCATTGCTTTCATCTTTGCTCAGGTCCCTCAAACTTTCCCGCATCTCTCTGGACAATTTAATAGCTTCAGCACAAAACAACAAATAACAATAGCAAAGAACGAAAAAGTAGCATCAGCCAAGGATTAACCTTATTTGCTGATCCAATCTGCGCTCCTCATCAGATAGGTTTTCAACTTGTGCCTGGGATAAAAAGGAAATTGTGAATGAGGTCATATCTGTACTTCAGAATTGGCAAACATTATTTTTGCTATGACGTGCAATGAAAAGTTGACAGATTTTATGTATGATCCATTGTCTCTAGTCTTAATCAACCATGACACTAATCTTAGGAAGCTCAACCAAACAAAGGCCTTGGAAACTCTTTCCAGCCAAGAACACAAATCCTGCTTTTTTCATGACAATCATTGAAATTCAAATGCATCACACAAACTTGGAACTGGACAAATGTGGACTGAAATCTAGCATGATCAACCAAAAACAAGTCTTGTCAAAGTAATCTAATCAAGAAGGCAAATCTTGCTTTGTCATGCCAATCATTCATATCTGAATGCATTAGGCTGAAAAATGGTACTGGACAAAACATGCGGACTGAAATCTAACACGCTTAACTATTCGAGTCAAGAACATAAAATCCCGCTTTGTCATGCCAGTTATTCATATTTGAATGCATTGGAACTGGAAAAAACATGTAGACTTAGGTAACATGACCAGTAACGATATCATGCTAAAGTTCAAATATGGAAAGCAATTTCCACAGAAAACCCAACCAGTCAGTAAAAGGGATGTTGACTTCAGATTTATATGGTTATTTACTTCCTTGCAAGTAAATGCAGCCTTTTTAATCAGCTAACACTTTCAGTCTAGGTTTGGAATCAACAATGATAGTTAGGTTGGGGACTGGTGCGTCCAAAAAGAAGAGAGAACAGAAAAACAACAAATAACAGGACATAATAGCACAAACACCAACAGCATTGGTACTTTTAAGCAAACAAACATACAGTCTCAAAAACTGAGCCAAGACTAAGCTATCCAAGCACAAGCATGCCAAGCAACAAGTTCACTTTTTTCCGTACCTGTAAACTAGGATAATTTTCGTCCACGTCTCCTGTCCTCGAGACATCAAGTCCCCTAATCAACCAATCACTCAATTTTGAGTAACTTCTAATGTACAGTGGATAATTGAATATTTACAACTTAATAAAGTGGAAAAATAGCTGTTAAAATTTCAGGAAACAAATACAAATAATCCCTTACTTCCACTGAATTCTATTTTTGAGCTTCTTTTCTATGAGACCAATTCCTTCAAGAACATTTGTTATATCATAAATCCGCCTCTTTTGCACCTGCATATAAAGAACACTTAAAATTTACAGATTCTTGACATAGAATACATTACAACAGATAGGAAAGTAGTCACCTCTAAAGTATCAGCAGCATTATTGAGATCCAGAATACCATCTTCCGCATGTTTGATCAGATTGATAAACTTTTTTGTTAAGAGACCTGAATGGCAATAATAGGACATTGCCATAATATTTGCACAACAAATGAAAAAATTAACTTGCTTTTCTGATGAAGAACCTAAATAACTAAATGATAAAATCAGTTAACAAAAAACATAGGAAATCGTTCTGTTACCTAGGGAGCTGTCAAAACGACAAGGTCCGGCTGGAGTAAGATTAGCCCCAGAAGGAGAACCTGTCAATTATACAGATTAGATGGGAGTAATCAAGCAAACAAATCCCATAAATTCTCATAGCATCAGCTAATTCATTCTTTTCGGAACACAACTAATCCATTCTTCAAATCTCAATTAAACCTTACCTCGCATATATAATAGAACTACAAGTATGGGAGCACACTTGACAGATTTAAGTAACACTCACCCACATTGGAAGCCGGAGTCTGGGGTCCAGATCTGCTACACTTTGTCAGCCTTGATGTTTTGTTTGCCTTTCCCACCTTGCTTGACACAGGAGTCTGGAGGGGGCTGGTAACTGCTTCAGTATATCCAGTAGCAGCTGTCCTATCACTAGACTCAGCTTCGTAATCTGCTGCATCACTCTTCCGTTTTAGCTGCTAATCCACCATTCAGTTTATTCCAAAAATTAGCATCAAATGAACAAACCATATCATATAAGTAATTATAAAATGAAAATAATTGATCAATTGAAAATACATAATGACTATGAAGAGAATGATTATTATAATTACGCATACAGGTACATTAGCTGGAAAGATGTTAGCACATCATCCAAACCAATCTACGTTTCCAGAGGACTATGCTCTACAAAGAAAACTGGAAGCTTAAGTTCTCCAAATATTTGGATAAGTACTAGGCTCCACGTTAGGCCATCTTTGAGTTCTCCAAATATTTGGGTATTGCCAAAGGTCCACCCCATATCCATTGAGTTCTCCAAATATTTAGATGTTGGTCACATGTTGGACCATCTTAAGTTCTCCAAATATTTGGATAAGTACTAGGCTCCACGTTAGGCCATCTTTGAGTTCTCCAAATATTTGGGTATTGCCAAAGGTCCACCCCATATCCATTGAGTTCTCCAAATATTTAGATGTTGGTCACATGTTGGACCATCTTAAGTTCTCCAAATATTTGGATAAGTACTAGGCTCCACGTTAGGCCATCTTTGAGTTCTCCAAATATTTGGGTATTGCCAAAGGTCCACCCCATATCCATTGAGTTCTCCAAATATTTAGATGTTGGTCACATGTTGGACCATCTTAAGTTCTCCAAATATTTGGATAAGTACTAGGCTCCACGTTAGGCCATCTTTGAGTTCTCCAAATATTTGGGTATTGCCAAAGGTCCACCCCATATCCATTGAGTTCTCCAAATATTTAGATGTTGGTCACATGTTGGACCATCTTAAGTTCTCCAAATATTTGGATAAGTACTAGGCTCCACGTTAGGCCATCTTTGAGTTCTCCAAATATTTGGGTATTGCCAAAGGTCCACCCCATATCCATTGAGTTCTCCAAATATTTAGATGTTGGTCACATGTTGGACCATCTTAAGTTCTCCAAATATTTGGATAAGTACTAGGCTCCACGTTAGGCCATCTTTGAGTTCTCCAAATATTTGGGTATTGCCAAAGGTCCACCCCATATCCATTGAGTTCTCCAAATATTTAGATGTTGGTCACATGTTGGACCATCTTAAGTTCTCCAAATATTTGGATAAGTACTAGGCTCCACGTTAGGCCATCTTTGAGTTCTCCAAATATTTGGGTATTGCCAAAGGTCCACCCCATATCCATTGAGTTCTCCAAATATTTAGATGTTGGTCACATGTTGGACCATCTTAAGTTCTCCAAATATTTGGATAAGTACTAGGCTCCACGTTAGGCCATCTTTGAGTTCTCCAAATATTTGGGTATTGCCAAAGGTCCACCCCATATCCATTGAGTTCTCCAAATATTTAGATGTTGGTCACATGTTGGACCATCTTAAGTTCTCCAAATATTTGGATAAGTACTAGGCTCCACGTTAGGCCATCTTTGAGTTCTCCAAATATTTGGGTATTGCCAAAGGTCCACCCCATATCCATTGAGTTCTCCAAATATTTAGATGTTGGTCACATGTTGGACCATCTTAAGTTCTCCAAATATTTGGATAAGTACTAGGCTCCACGTTAGGCCATCTTTGAGTTCTCCAAATATTTGGGTATTGCCAAAGGTCCACCCCATATCCATTGAGTTCTCCAAATATTTAGATGTTGGTCACATGTTGGACCATCTTAAGTTCTCCAAATATTTGGATAAGTACTAGGCTCCACGTTAGGCCATCTTTGAGTTCTCCAAATATTTGGGTATTGCCAAAGGTCCACCCCATATCCATTGAGTTCTCCAAATATTTAGATGTTGGTCACATGTTGGACCATCTTAAGTTCTCCAAATATTTGGATAAGTACTAGGCTCCACGTTAGGCCATCTTTGAGTTCTCCAAATATTTGGGTATTGCCAAAGGTCCACCCCATATCCATTGAGTTCTCCAAATATTTAGATGTTGGTCACATGTTGGACCATCTTAAGTTCTCCAAATATTTGGATAAGTACTAGGCTCCACGTTAGGCCATCTTTGAGTTCTCCAAATATTTGGGTATTGCCAAAGGTCCACCCCATATCCATTGAGTTCTCCAAATATTTAGATGTTGGTCACATGTTGGACCATCTTAAGTTCTCCAAATATTTGGATAAGTACTAGGCTCCACGTTAGGCCATCTTTGAGTTCTCCAAATATTTGGGTATTGCCAAAGGTCCACCCCATATCCATTGAGTTCTCCAAATATTTAGATGTTGGTCACATGTTGGACCATCTTAAGTTCTCCAAATATTTGGATAAGTACTAGGCTCCACGTTAGGCCATCTTTGAGTTCTCCAAATATTTGGGTATTGCCAAAGGTCCACCCCATATCCATTGAGTTCTCCAAATATTTAGATGTTGGTCACATGTTGGACCATCTTAAGTTCTCCAAATATTTGGATAAGTACTAGGCTCCACGTTAGGCCATCTTTGAGTTCTCCAAATATTTGGGTATTGCCAAAGGTCCACCCCATATCCATTGAGTTCTCCAAATATTTAGATGTTGGTCACATGTTGGACCATCTTAAGTTCTCCAAATATTTGGATAAGTACTAGGCTCCACGTTAGGCCATCTTTGAGTTCTCCAAATATTTGGGTATTGCCAAAGGTCCACCCCATATCCATTGAGTTCTCCAAATATTTAGATGTTGGTCACATGTTGGACCATCTTAAGTTCTCCAAATATTTGGATAAGTACTAGGCTCCACGTTAGGCCATCTTTGAGTTCTCCAAATATTTGGGTATTGCCAAAGGTCCACCCCATATCCATTGAGTTCTCCAAATATTTAGATGTTGGTCACATGTTGGACCATCTTAAGTTCTCCAAATATTTGGATAAGTACTAGGCTCCACGTTAGGCCATCTTTGAGTTCTCCAAATATTTGGGTATTGCCAAAGGTCCACCCCATATCCATTGAGTTCTCCAAATATTTAGATGTTGGTCACATGTTGGACCATCTTAAGTTCTCCAAATATTTGGATAAGTACTAGGCTCCACGTTAGGCCATCTTTGAGTTCTCCAAATATTTGGGTATTGCCAAAGGTCCACCCCATATCCATTGAGTTCTCCAAATATTTAGATGTTGGTCACATGTTGGACCATCTTAAGTTCTCCAAATATTTGGATAAGTACTAGGCTCCACGTTAGGCCATCTTTGAGTTCTCCAAATATTTGGGTATTGCCAAAGGTCCACCCCATATCCATTGAGTTCTCCAAATATTTAGATGTTGGTCACATGTTGGACCATCTTAAGTTCTCCAAATATTTGGATAAGTACTAGGCTCCACGTTAGGCCATCTTTGAGTTCTCCAAATATTTGGGTATTGCCAAAGGTCCACCCCATATCCATTGAGTTCTCCAAATATTTAGATGTTGGTCACATGTTGGACCATCTTAAGTTCTCCAAATATTTGGATAAGTACTAGGCTCCACGTTAGGCCATCTTTGAGTTCTCCAAATATTTGGGTATTGCCAAAGGTCCACCCCATATCCATTGAGTTCTCCAAATATTTAGATGTTGGTCACATGTTGGACCATCTTAAGTTCTCCAAATATTTGGATAAGTACTAGGCTCCACGTTAGGCCATCTTTGAGTTCTCCAAATATTTGGGTATTGCCAAAGGTCCACCCCATATCCATTGAGTTCTCCAAATATTTAGATGTTGGTCACATGTTGGACCATCTTAAGTTCTCCAAATATTTGGATAAGTACTAGGCTCCACGTTAGGCCATCTTTGAGTTCTCCAAATATTTGGGTATTGCCAAAGGTCCACCCCATATCCATTGAGTTCTCCAAATATTTAGATGTTGGTCACATGTTGGACCATCTTAAGTTCTCCAAATATTTGGATAAGTACTAGGCTCCACGTTAGGCCATCTTTGAGTTCTCCAAATATTTGGGTATTGCCAAAGGTCCACCCCATATCCATTGAGTTCTCCAAATATTTAGATGTTGGTCACATGTTGGACCATCTTAAGTTCTCCAAATATTTGGATAAGTACTAGGCTCCACGTTAGGCCATCTTTGAGTTCTCCAAATATTTGGGTATTGCCAAAGGTCCACCCCATATCCATTGAGTTCTCCAAATATTTAGATGTTGGTCACATGTTGGACCATCTTAAGTTCTCCAAATATTTGGATAAGTACTAGGCTCCACGTTAGGCCATCTTTGAGTTCTCCAAATATTTGGGTATTGCCAAAGGTCCACCCCATATCCATTGAGTTCTCCAAATATTTAGATGTTGGTCACATGTTGGACCATCTTAAGTTCTCCAAATATTTGGATAAGTACTAGGCTCCACGTTAGGCCATCTTTGAGTTCTCCAAATATTTGGGTATTGCCAAAGGTCCACCCCATATCCATTGAGTTCTCCAAATATTTAGATGTTGGTCACATGTTGGACCATCTTAAGTTCTCCAAATATTTGGATAAGTACTAGGCTCCACGTTAGGCCATCTTTGAGTTCTCCAAATATTTGGGTATTGCCAAAGGTCCACCCCATATCCATTGAGTTCTCCAAATATTTAGATGTTGGTCACATGTTGGACCATCTTAAGTTCTCCAAATATTTGGATAAGTACTAGGCTCCACGTTAGGCCATCTTTGAGTTCTCCAAATATTTGGGTATTGCCAAAGGTCCACCCCATATCCATTGAGTTCTCCAAATATTTAGATGTTGGTCACATGTTGGACCATCTTAAGTTCTCCAAATATTTGGATAAGTACTAGGCTCCACGTTAGGCCATCTTTGAGTTCTCCAAATATTTGGGTATTGCCAAAGGTCCACCCCATATCCATTGAGTTCTCCAAATATTTAGATGTTGGTCACATGTTGGACCATCTTAAGTTCTCCAAATATTTGGATAAGTACTAGGCTCCACGTTAGGCCATCTTTGAGTTCTCCAAATATTTGGGTATTGCCAAAGGTCCACCCCATATCCATTGAGTTCTCCAAATATTTAGATGTTGGTCACATGTTGGACCATCTTAAGTTCTCCAAATATTTGGATAAGTACTAGGCTCCACGTTAGGCCATCTTTGAGTTCTCCAAATATTTGGGTATTGCCAAAGGTCCACCCCATATCCATTGAGTTCTCCAAATATTTAGATGTTGGTCACATGTTGGACCATCTTAAGTTCTCCAAATATTTGGATAAGTACTAGGCTCCACGTTAGGCCATCTTTGAGTTCTCCAAATATTTGGGTATTGCCAAAGGTCCACCCCATATCCATTGAGTTCTCCAAATATTTAGATGTTGGTCACATGTTGGACCATCTTAAGTTCTCCAAATATTTGGATAAGTACTAGGCTCCACGTTAGGCCATCTTTGAGTTCTCCAAATATTTGGGTATTGCCAAAGGTCCACCCCATATCCATTGAGTTCTCCAAATATTTAGATGTTGGTCACATGTTGGACCATCTTAAGTTCTCCAAATATTTGGATAAGTACTAGGCTCCACGTTAGGCCATCTTTGAGTTCTCCAAATATTTGGGTATTGCCAAAGGTCCACCCCATATCCATTGAGTTCTCCAAATATTTAGATGTTGGTCACATGTTGGACCATCTTAAGTTCTCCAAATATTTGGATAAGTACTAGGCTCCACGTTAGGCCATCTTTGAGTTCTCCAAATATTTGGGTATTGCCAAAGGTCCACCCCATATCCATTGAGTTCTCCAAATATTTAGATGTTGGTCACATGTTGGACCATCTTAAGTTCTCCAAATATTTGGATAAGTACTAGGCTCCACGTTAGGCCATCTTTGAGTTCTCCAAATATTTGGGTATTGCCAAAGGTCCACCCCATATCCATTGAGTTCTCCAAATATTTAGATGTTGGTCACATGTTGGACCATCTTAAGTTCTCCAAATATTTGGATAAGTACTAGGCTCCACGTTAGGCCATCTTTGAGTTCTCCAAATACTTGGATATTGGCAAAGGTCTACACCATATCCATTTGAGTTCTCCGAATACTTGGATATGTATATATAATAAAAAAATAATGTAGGCCAATTAATGGCCTTTGGATCCAGGCTGCATGGCCTCTTCTTATTATCTTTTTATTTTGCAATATATATACGTATGTACAGGGATGGAGTCAAGATTTCAAACTGAAGTGGGCTAAATTTACTTTACCTACAAAACGACATAGTGTGTATTAAATATCTCTCTTACCAAACTTAATGTTTCATTGAAAAATAAATAAATAAAAAAACAAAACTTCTAAATTAAAAGTCAAAAAGGTGCCGTGTGTTCTCATATCTTTCCTACAAAATGCATCTAAGGCTTAGACCTCTACAAACCTTTAGTGGAGTGGAGCATTTCACCAAGTATGTGGTGGGCTGGGAATGTTATGTTAGGTTGAAAAAGAATAAGTCACCTAGACTATAGCCCAGATTAGCCATATGCACGGTCTGTCCCTGCATATATATATAGATAATGAATCCAATGCATCAACATAAGACCTCTTTGGGGATTCAAGGGACCTCATCTTGGCTCACTTTGGCAGATTTTACCATGACGGATTTCACCTCGGCAAATTTAGAAGATGTAGAGATTTTTCCTTGTTGGATTGGAGGTCTCCGAATTGGCAGATATAGGGAAATTTGACAATCCCAAACACACGTCCAAGTGACTTACCACATCATCGAGCCCGACCATCTGGGTCCTCTTCTCTGCATTTTCAATGTTTTCCCAAAGCTGTTAGAAATGTCTAAAAGTCAAGGACTTGCTCAAGAAGGAAGATAATGGGAAAATTTTGTGCAACTAGGAGAAAGAATTTGGTTGTGCAAATCAGTCAACTTCATGGATGACCCTGTATTCCGTCATAATGAACCATCTTATGAGCCATACACTTTGGAAATATCTGGAAGTCAGCTTTCCAAAGAGTTTTACTGTTCATGATTTGGATTTTTTTAGGAGTTGTCATTGTTTTGGTGCGAGATGTTTTTTTTTTTTTTTTTTTTTTTTTTTTTTTTTTTTTTTTTTTTTTTTTTTTTTTTTTTTTTTTTTTTGGTCAATAAAAGCTTCATTCAAAACGAAGGAAAGACGACAAAGAGGAGAAACAGACAAACCAAAGACAGAAAGAAAGGGAACAAACAGCAGCAACAAACGACTAAAACTAACAACTAGAACAACAGAGGCCAGAGGCCAGTAGCTATGACGCCTCCAAAAGGGGAGCCCGTCCGCCTCCAGCACAGACTCCCTAGCACCGCGGGGGGCAAGGAAGTCCGTCAGCTTGCAACACATAAACCAGAGAGGATGGGGGGCTGGAAGCCCAAACTTCATCGCACATCCTCCTTCTAGCTCGCTGAGCTGCAGCATCCGCTGCTCGGTTTGCCCCTCGAGGGACCCAATGCCAAGAACAAGATATAAAACTGCTACAATGACGTCGAATAGCTGACAGGATAGGATAAATCATCCACCTCCCTTTCAAAATATTTCCTTTAACTGATTGAACGAGCTCCTTTGAGTCAGATTCGAAGACCACATTTGGAAACCCCCTTTCAACAGCCAGCTTGACCCCCTTTAAGGCAGCATGGGCTTCAGCCTCAATTGCCGAAGAAGCAAGTCGAGGACCGCAGCAACCACCCATAAAGATGCCAGCCGAATTTCTCACAACAACTCCCAGACCAGCTTGCAGAGTACAACTAACCCAAGAAGCATCAATATTTATTTTGTAAACAGAAGTGGGAGGGGGGGACCATCTAACCACCCTATGGCCATCATCAATATCCTCCTCCAAAATCGCATCCCCATGAGGACACCCCACAAGATTGAAATCATTCATCAACTTTTTTGCCACCAGCAAAGTATTGCGAGGGCACACACTAATATCATCAAAAATAGCAGAGCAACGGCTTTTCCAGATACTCCAACAACTGTAAAAAATTTGGGAAATTAGCCACTTCCGATCATATCCCAAGCCCTGCGAAAACTTCAAAATCTGCATCAACCAATCACTCATAGAAGTGATGCTCTGCCTGTTTATCCTGTAGTTCAAAGGACCCCCAAACCATACAGGCCGGACCCAATTACAGAGGAGAAAAAGATGCTCAACAGATTCCGGAAACTCCCCACAGATAGGGCATAACGGGGAGGTGCCAAGGTGTCTCCTGAACAAAGCATCCCTTGTTGGCAGGCAGCCCCTGACTAATCTCCACCAAAAATTCATTAACTTTGGGACCATCTGAGAGCCCCAAATCAGCTTCCACAGAGCCTTGTCTAAAATTCTTGAGCTGGATGGCCTGACCGAAGTATCAAGGTGAGCCATGTGAATCATGTTATAGCCAGATTTGACAGTGTAACTACCCGTCTGGTTTAGAGGCCAGATGAGCCTGTCCTTCTCCCAGCCATCACCCAAAGGCATGGCTTTGATAATTTTTGCAGCATTTGGTGAAAACATACCACCAATAGCCTCCAAGTTCCATTCACGAGAATGGCAGTCAATAATAGTCTCAACCTTGGCCTCCAAATCCACCTGGCTAAGATGGCTAGGTTGCAGAGCATGCTCAGTACACCCAGGGATCCACTTATCAGTCCAAAGATGAACACGGCTACCATCAAGAACCTGCCACCTAGCACCATTCATGATTATATTCCTTCCTACCAGCAAGCTAGACCAAGCCCAGGATGATTTAGCCCCCTTCCCGGCCCGGAGAAAATCGCAATTCGGGAAATATTTACTTTTTAGCAACTGTGCCCAAAAGGCCTGAGGCTCCGTCACCATCCTCCACCCTTGTTTTGCCAACAAGGCAACATTAAAATCCTTCAGGTTGCGGAAGCCCATTCCCCCTTCATTCTTAGGCATGCCAAGGTCCTTCCAACTGATCCAATGAATTTTATTTGATTGCTGAGATTGACCCCACCAGAAATTTGCCAAAATACTGTCAATCTCCTGACAGAAACCATTCGGGAAGAGGAAAACAGACATAGGGTAAGACGGGACGGCCTGGGCAACAGACTTAATCAAGACCTCCCTTCCAGCTTGAGAGAGTAAACCATGCTTCCAACCCTGTATTTTTCCCAGAATTTTATCCTTTACGAAAGCCAACGCCATCTTTTTCGAACGGCCCCATATAGTTGGAAGCCCAAGATACTTGCCCGGATCCTCAGAGATGGTGACATTAAGAATAGCCCTCAACCTATCCTTCACCTCTAAAGGCGTATTTGGGCTGAAGAACATATTTGATTTCTCAAAATTTACAAGCTGACCCGAGGCCGTGCAGTAAGCATCCAAGATTCTCACAATCACTCGACAATTATTCTCAGTTGCTTTGAGAAACATAAGTGAGTCGTCAGCAAAAAAGAGGTGTGAGAGAACCGGGCCACCTCTACCAAATTTCATTCCTTGGATGAAACCATGGGTAACGGCTTGATTGATCATGGAAGAGAGCACATCACTAACGATAAGAAACAAGTATGGAGATAACGGATCCCCTTGTCTGAGCCCTCTAGTCGGTTTGAAATAGCTTCCCACTTTTCCATTGACAATAACAGCAAATTCAACAGAAGATAAGCACCTCAGGACCCATCTTACCCATTGTCTAGCAAAGCCCATCTTTAACAGCACCGCCTGCACAAAATCCCACTCGATCCGATCGTAAGCCTTACTCATGTCCAGCTTTAACCCCATCTCAAAAATTTTTGTTTTCTTCCTAATCTTTAAAGAGTGGAAAGCTTCATGAGCCACCAAGACATTATCTTGGATCTGTCTTCCTGGAATGAAGGCACATTGTTGAGGCGAGATGATTTTATCCAGGAAAGGCTGCAGTCTGTTTGCTAAAATCTTTGAAATAATCTTGTAGGAATAGTTACAGAGGGAGATAGGACGGAACTGTGTGACCCATTCCGGGTGGGGAACCTTAGGAATCAAGGCAATCTCAGTTCTGTTTAACGTTTCCATAGACATGGTATTGGAGAAAAAGTTTTTGACCAACCTGCAAACATCATTTCCCACAATGCTCCAGTACTTTTGGTAAAAAATTCCAGAGAAACCATCAGGTCCTGGCGATTTCAAGGCCCCCATTTGGAAGACAGTAATTCGAATTTCCTCATCTGAGATCGGGGCCAAAAGAGAAGCATTGATGTTGTCCGAGATAACTACAGGAACGAAAGCAAGAATATCCCCCCAATCTCTTGGCCCTTCAGACGTGAATAAGTTTTTAAAATAATCTTCGATTATACTCCGCACGTGATCCTCACCCATTTCCCAATCTCCAGCAAGATTCCTTATTCTTCCCAGATAATTCCTTCGCCTTTTTTGAATTGTGCAGTTATGGAAAAAAGCAGTATTTGCATCACCATGTTTTAGCCACTGGATTTTTGCCCTTTGCTTCCAATACAGCTCTTCGCACCTCCAAACCTGGTTAAGGCTTCTCTCCACTTCCTTGATCTTCACAGTATTTTCCTCCCAGTCTCGTTGGAGACTGTCTAAATCAGAGAGGAGAGCAGTGGCCATTATTCGATTGTTTTTAAATTTCCCATCACTCCACTGTTTCAATTCAGTTCTACACGTTCCCAACTTAGTGTCCCAGGAGAAGCAAGAGGCAGCAGGAGAGCACAGCCCCCAACTCCTATCAACTACCTCTCTGCATTCAGGATCAGATGCCCAGAACGCCTCAAATTTGAACGGCTTCAAACCCCTCCTGACATTTATCTCAGTCAGAATTAAAACAGGACAATGATCTGAGCCCACAGCAGGTAAATGGATGGCATGGGAGTTTGGCCAAGTTTCCTGCCAAGGCACGTTTATCAGCCCACGATCAAGTCTTTCCTGCACAACCACTCCGTCAGCCCTAGTCCCTCTCCAAGTGAAAGACGAGCCCTGATACCCCAGGTCCACAAGCTCTTTTTTATCTAAAAATTCCTGTAGATATCTTCTCCTGTTGTTGTCCAACCTTCTTCCACCTCTCTTCTCAAAATCCCAAAGCATATCATTGAAATCACCAATGCATAACCAAGGAAAAACCACAGACCCCAAAACTGAATCCAACCAGCCCCAACAAGCCTCCTTCTCATCCCGGTAAGGTGAACCATAGACCCACGAAGCTCTGAATCTTACACCCGACCCTTGCTCAGTCACCCAAGAGTCAATCAGATATTTTGAGCAAATGGTAACCTCCACTTGAACCCTGTCATCCCACCACAAGCATAAACCCCCAGATGTTCCAACTGGGTCCGCGTAAACCTCATGATCAAACCCCACATCCCTTGCCAACCTTGACAAATGGTAACCTCCACTTGAACCCTGTCATCCCACCACAAGCATAAACCCCCAGATGTTCCAACTGGGTCCACGTAAACCTCATGATCAAACCCCACATCCCTTGCCAACCTTGTTAACCTATTCTGTTTCTGCTTCGTTTCCATGAGAAACACAATAGAGGGTCGCTTTCCTTTTATTGTCTCCCGAAGAGACCGAATTGTCAGGTCCGACCCAAGCCCCTGACAATTCCATGCTAGATAACTCATGGCGCCCGTGTGGCTGTCTTTGGCCAGCCACCACCGCCAGTTTCTGCTGCACTTTGAGCTTCAACATGTGAGTCCCTCAACTCCAAAGTTGGCGCCAAGACCACTGCCACTTCCCTCAACCCCTCCTCTGAGAATTCAATTACCTGGGGAACCTGTCCTCGCGACGTCGTCGTCCTAGCTTTTGGACTTTTAGTGAACCTTCGTTGCTTAATCCTTCCACTCTTCCCCTCAGCAACTAGCCCTTCACCTTTCAAGACTTTTGGTTTTTTTCCTTCCTTCAAAGACCTCCAACTGGACTCAGCTTCTCTCTTAACGCCCATTCTTTCGAAAGCCACATTGGCGTTTAAACTAGGCCCATGGGTTGAGTCAGTATTGTTTTTTCCAGCATGAGTTGTTTGGCTTAGATCCTTCTCAGTTTGGGAATCCAGCTCCTCAAGAGCTACAGAGGTTTGGCCCTTCTCTGAAGGCCCAAGCAAGGCCCAATTTGGGGTAGCATGCTGACCAAAAGACATTTGAGAGTGGGCCCATTGAAAGTTATCCTCAAAAGGTATGGGTGTTGTCCTCTCAGGCCAAGCCCAGTGGCGTGGGTTATGCTCCTCAACTAGAAACACTCCACGCCTACCTAGAGAGCTAGTACTTCCCCTGACACTATTTGTGTGCCACTCAAAAATCTGCATGTCAGGGTGTGAAACCTGCCTACCGCCCCCTTCTCTTGCGCTATCGCTTTCAATCCTTTCCTCCTGACCAGAGATGTGATCTGAAATAGCCGTTTGCCCCATAATTATATTGCTTACAGGCTCAGTCAGTTGTTGTTGTCTCGAGGTTTCTTGGTTTGTGTGTGCAATGTCTCCATCAGTTTCCTCCCTACCCCCACCTTCCATTTGCATGTGGCCCACACGTGCCACCCTAGAAACCAGATTGACGGTGCTTCTTTCCCCTGCTCTACGGCGGACAGCCCGGGGGGTAATGGAGGTACCCTGGCCGCCCCTTGCCCGAATGGCTCTCGCTTTCATCCAGTCACCATAAGCAGCCGTTTCCGCACCCTCCTCCTGATTTGCCAGAAATTTACAGCCGTTCTTCGTGTGACCCAGCCTCCCACAGTCATAGCAAAAATCAGATAGCTTCTCATACTTCAATTCCACCCATGTGGCCCGGCCTTCGGCTCTTGGAAGCCAAAACCCAGCAACTAGAGGGGCTCGACAATCGATCTGAATTCGGCTCCTCAAGAAGCCCCGTGGACCCATGCTCCAGGGATCCTCAACTTCCAGAACAGATCCAAGCTTTCCACCAATCTCTGCTGCGTTCTCGGTCGACATAAGGTTAAGGGGTATTCCATGAATTTGGATCCAATAAGCAACCAGGTGAGTCGGGATTTCTTCAATTGCCATGTTACTTGGCCATCTCTGCACTGAAAAACAAAAGCCCATCACTGACCATGGACCCTCATCTACAATTTTATCCGCTGTATCCTCATCCTGGGCAAGGATAGTGAACACATTCCCCTTCATGTATGTGATTTTCGTCTCCCCAAAGGAAGCCCAGGCTGTCGACAGGATGTTCTTGATAGCACCCCTATTTGGAAGCTTTTCAGCTACGATGGCACCAATCAATTTAGTTCCACTCTCCAGGCTTGAGAAGCCCAGGGTCTCTTCAAGTCTAATAACCAGCTCCTCCGTTCTAGCGTCCGCCATAGTGGTTTCCAACGAAGTCCCACACGTGTAGTTTCCTACCAAGTAAGTCGGTTCTGTTTGGGTTGGGTTTGTAGGAGACACTATCAGAGTTTGTTTCCAGTGAAAGTTCCTTTGCAGGGGGGAAGTTTCAGTTCTATTTGGACTCCAGGGAAAGATTGTATGGTTGTTGTCTTGATGGTGGTAGGTGGCCCAAAATCTGTACCAAACTAGGATCTTTATTACCCAGCTCATCCAGACTTGTTTTGTGCTCATAACTCTCCTCCTCTTCGATAATTGGGAAGAATAAATGTCTGCCGCCCTTCTACAAGAGAAGTAGGTGGGAGTCATAACTCCAAGCTCCCAAGGAAGCTGGTCACTGTGAATGTGCCGTTGAGGGAAAAAAGACTCACACATGGGTGAGGGAACTCTCATTGTAGAGAGAGAGGCTCTCA